CTTCGTAAGTATAGAGGGATTGTTTGATCTAGTAGAACGTAAGAAGGTTTGCCGAACGCTGCCCATCCCATTCCTACTCGTCTCGATACTTCGGCTGTTTGATTTTCTCTGTTAGCTCTGATTGCTTGTCCTAGATAGATATACTCATTTACCTGTTCTATTTTTTCTGTTTGTATTTTTATTGCCTCTTGGTCTTCCGTGTTTGTCATTACTTTTGTTTTGTTGAAGTTAATTTTTAGGCCTTTTTGCAGTGATTTTTCATGAAGTTCATTCAGCATTAATTCTAGTTCTTGTCGTTCCGAGGAGATCAGGAGTATATCATCCGCATATCTAAGGTGATTTAGGTACTTTCCGTTAATACATATTCCTCTGTTTTCTCCAATCTGTTGATTTTATTATATCTTCGAGGGTCAAGGTAAACAGTTTAGGTGAAATTATATCGCCTTGTCGGACTCCTCGTTTAACTTTTATATTATCGTTATTAATTTGTCGTCCAGAATTACGGTCATGGTTGCGTTTTGGTAAATATCATGTATCAATTGTCGGTATCTTGAATCTATGCTACTATTGACCAGAGCTTCTTCCACCGCCCAGTGTTCAATGCTGTCGAAAGCCTTTTCATAATCTACGAATGCTAAGTACAGCGGAAGGTTGTATTCATTGGTTTTCTCAATTAAGATTTTAAGCGCATGTAGATGGTCGATTGTGCTGTATCCTTTCCTGAATCCGGCCTGTTCCACTGGTTGGTAGTTATCAAGTTTATAGGTTAGTCGGTTATTTACTTTTCGTTAGATATCATAAAATGTAGTAAGTTGTTCTTGTGGCATTTTAAAATAATTACTATTTAAATGGGAATAAGCCACAATTACAGATTAAAGTAAGTTTATTAACGATTCAATTTCCACTTCGGAAATCGTTCTCAATATTCAGGAGAACGATTTCCGAAGTGGAAATTGAAACATCAATAAACTTACTTTAACCTTTAATTGTGGCTTATTCCCATTTCAATAGTAATTATGTAGTAAGTTAAACAGATTTGTTGAAAACATGAAATCAAATTTAATTCTTTTCAGAACAACATGTGACTTTGAGCTCATTATGGATTCAATTGAAGGAAAGAGAACGGTTTAGTGGTTGTCATATGTCCTCAGTACTGTATTGAAAGACATTTGTTTTAAATTGCCAAAAGATGATCCAACGCGAAAACCAATGGAACACTCTCATATTGCTGTGAAGAGAGCAGAATTATTGAGATTGTATCAAAAATATAAACTTGAAGAACTATATAAGTTTGTTTTTATAGATGAAACTTGGATTGTTCAGAATGGATCTATATGTCACTCATGGAAAAGATCAGAATAAAAGAAGTGTAAAATCTATTAAAACTGATGGAAAACGGTAATATATTTAATATTATTGAAAGGATAAAGGTGTTAAAATAAATTTTTTTGTAGATACAAAATTCTTCATGCTAATAATAAAAATGACTTCATTGAGAGTGCAGAGGCTATATTTTTCTCTTCCGACGTAACATGCCCCAACTCCGCAGATATAGGCAGCGACCATAAACTAGTATTATGTAAAATAAGAATCATTATGAAATTAAGCACACCCAAGACAGCGGCACTAACAAAAATAAAAATCAGTCTTTAATATTTTTTTTTGTTTCTTTTTTGTTTATAATGGCTTTGGCAGTTTGCCATACAGCCAGTTACATGATCTTTTAATTTCATTAATCGCAAAAATCGGAGTCGAAATATTAAATACTGAGAATGAAATATTAGAAAACGATAACATCGGGGAAAGCTGGTTAAAAACTCAAAAATAACATATTTAACGTAGCAACAGAAGCACTTAGATAGAGAAAAGTAATGAACACTAACATCTCAAAAAAGAAAATGCGGTATGAGCTGCGATTTCAATTGAAGACTTATAGAAGTCGACCCAAGAAGCTTTTTTTAAGAAAGGAATCGGCGCAAAATATCAGACGCAAAAAACTAGCTTGGGCTCTGAAACATGAAAATATGTAAACTTCATACAGTTTTGGAAGATATTTTGTTTAATATACACTACCGAGCATAAAATTAGGGTCACCCCGTAATTTGAATTTATTTTAGAAATTATTATTATGTTAAACTATTTTCGGTTGTAACATAGTCTACTAATGGGTTTCTTGAAAAAAAAAAATGATAAGATGTTGTTTCGACAAGCGTTTGAGATAAAAAGGGTCCCTTAGCCTAATTCCTAAAAACCGCAGTTTTTGTTTCTATGGTTTTAACGTCAATTGTAAATTGTTTGTGTATTGTTATCACTGTCAGTGTATTGCAATGAGCATAAATTCTGTTGTGGGCGGCGGTTAGAAGATGGCCACGGTCAGCGCGAAACTGCGAGAAACGTTGGTGTAAGTCTCTCGAGTGTGCAACGAGTATGGCAACGGTACGAAGAGACCGGTCTGCTTACTCGAAGATCTGTTTCAGGTCGAGGCAGGATTACAACAGCTAGAGATGACCGCTTTGTCGTTTAAGTGAATAAGTGTCGAATAAGTGAATTGACAGCTAGGAGACGACTTCATGCTGCTGGTTTATCTTCTCGAACTAGAGTAACTGGACCGCCGCTTTCCGGTGAACACCGAATTGCCAGATTGAATTTTGCACGAGAACACTTGGACAATGCAGGATTGGAATCGTGTATTGTTTTCCGATGAATCGAGATTCTGTCTTACGGGCTCAGACAAACGTGTAAGAATGTGGCGACGTCCAGGCAAGAGATATGCTCAAGCATAATTATGTTGCCGAGCTTCTTCTTATGGATATTCTTGGAGACGACGCAACATTTATGCATGATAATGCACGGCCCCACACTGCTAGGATAGTTACTGAGTATCTTGACGAGGTTCAAATCACACGATTTGTTTGGCCTGCTCGCAGTCCAGATATCAATCCCATAGAACATGTTTGGGATGAGATGAAGAGACGTTTACGGAGTCATGTGCCGGCCCCCAGAAATTCGAAAGAGCTTAGCGACATATTGGTGCAAGAATGGAATAATCTTCCGCAGAATGTGATCCAAAATCTGATCCAAAGCATGCCTCGTCGTTTGCAAGCTGTTATCACTGCCAGAGGAGGGAATACTCGCTACTGAAGTTCTTAAAATTATTTTTTTCAACAAAAAGCACATCAAATTAAAATTGTCCCTTTTCAATATTTAGTATATCAAAGGAAAATTTTTCATTTCCATTATTTTTAATAAACTTTAAACGACAAAAACGTTGTTATCTTTAAGCAATCATAGTAAACTATGTTACAACCGAAAATAGTTAAAACAGAATAATAATTTCTAAAATAAATTCAAATTACGGGGTGACCTTAATTTTATGCTTGGTAGTGTATAAATATGTTTTCCATATGTCCTTAAAAAAGCAATAATTTGTCCAATCTTCAAAAAAGGGACTCAAACCTGTCAGAAAATCATCGGCCAGTTTCACTACTGCCAATTATTTCGAAAATTGTGAAAAAGTGCATGGCACTACAAATATTAGAATTCTTTTAGGTCAATGGTATGTTTTCTGAACGTCAATTTGGTTTTAGCAAAAACGTAAATACATTTTTAGGTTCTTAGATCTTATATTGTATATTACAGTGTCATTTCATAAACTTCAATTTAACTCAGTCCTTTAGTGTGACTTGAGCTAGGTTTTTGACTTGGTCAGCTGTTCGAATAAATACATTCGAACATGTAAAACTATTTATTAATATTTTTAATTTAGTATTTAACTCCACTTTTGACAAAAATGCACCCACTCTATAAATGTCATAAAAAATGTAAAACATCTGTCAAAAAATTTTTGTCAACAGTTTTTAGTATATAGTTTTTTTTGTGCGCTTTGACTCCCCGAAAAATCAGGCACCCAAATCCTCCTGCAGAAATTAAAAAAATATAACTTTTGTTCTGAGAGTATTGAGCTCATAATTCATATCTGAAAGATAGGGTACATGTTGTGAGGGTTGGTGGGTGTTGTCGTCAGAGAGTGTGTTAAATATTGGAGTACACCAGAGTTCAATACTGGGCCTTATTTTTTGCAGATGACACTATGGTTACCTTTGGAGCTGATAATATTGAAGATGTGCTGGAGGGTTCTATGGCAGATGACTGAGCAATGGTTTGCTGCAAATAGGTTGGTTCTGAACAACAATAAAACTAAACAAGTGATTGCCACAATGAGGGTGATATGGATGCTGGAGTTTTTTGGACCCAAAATTACAATGGGGCCCACATATTAACAACTTATGCAAAAATCTAAATAAAATGCTCTTTATTTTGAAAAATCTTTTAAAGATTGGGAATTTTTATTGTACCAGCACACTACATGCTAGAAAACCTTTGATTCATGAAGAGGAACACCTATCTTTATAGAAGTCACGCAGATCAGCATATGATACTAGACACAAACAGAATATGATAACAGCATATTGGCATTTGAAAAGGTGTCAAAATGGACCAGGGTATTGGGCAATAAAATATTTTAATGTCCTGCCTGAAAATATCAGAAACTTGCCTGAAATGAAATTTGAAAATAAAGTTAAAAAAAACTGATAAAAAATTCCATTTATTCAATTCAGGAATATTTAGAACATAATTTTAATTTTATTATATTAATTTAATTTTAATTGAGGTTTTGTCCATATATGACATGTGTAAGATTTTATATTTTAACATGGTATTGAGTATTGTTTTTTTTACGATAAAATACTATAAATGATCATGAGTACTACTACACAATCTTTGAGTGACCTAAGCCATGATTTTTGACTTTTCATCACATAAATTATTTTTTAAGGAATGGAAACATTATGATTTCATATAAACATAATAAAACACCTCCTTTTAGTTGAAATATCACGCTACATATTCTAGCGTTGCACAGCAACAAATTTTAAGTTTGCTTTTGTTTTTGTGTCATCAATGTATACAATAAATTTGAGAAGTGAGTCAATACTTACCTAATACATTTATAGTTCCTAAAGTATTTGTCTTTATAGTCTTAACAGGATTCTGCATATAATGTGGAGGACTAGCAGGACTAGCTAAGTGATAAATTTCATCAACTTCTATGTACAGAGGATTGACAATATCATGGTGGATGAGTTCGAAATTTTCGTGACCTATCCATTGCTCCACATTTGTTTTCCTTCCTGTGTAAAAATTATCAGCCACAATCACCTCGTGGCCTTCGAGCATTAATTTGTCTACCAAGTGAGAGCCAACAAAGCCAGCTCCACCTGTAATCTTGAATAAGGAAGAGGTAGATTAATTTTTTGTTAACCATCTTTCTGACAGACATGAAATTTTGATAATAAAAACTAGTTCAAGGAAAAAATTATGTAGTGCCAGTTGTGATTTTATCTTATCACTTCTTATGGGTGAAAATTATTAAATCTAAATTAACTCCAGAAATGGAATTCAATTTATAGGAAAAATTACACAAAATATGAATAACTTTAGAGCAAAAAGTTTATAACCAATTATAAATACATTATTTTTTCAAATTCAATATTACGGGAGTATTTTTAAGAATGGGAATGTTGAAAAGATCAAAAACTGTATTCTAGCTAATAATCAAGAATATAAAAAACTAGAGAATGCATTTCCACAATTTTTGTGTCCAGAGGAGTGGTTCTTAAGGGTCAAAATTTTCTAAATAAATTATAAATTACATAGAACCTATAAAATGTTTAAAATTAATTGTAAACACAGTGATAAAATTCTTGAAATTGTTAAAAATTCATTTTTTCTTCAATTTTTGTTCTTGAAGGTTGAAACATTGATTTGAGTTGAAACATTAATTATAAATTGCATTCCAAGACATTAAAGGATATTTATTATATTTCTTTAATGAGATTTCAACCTGTAAAAATCATACTTTTTTACTTTCTGGATTTCTATTGTTGCAAGGAGTAGTTTTCACTCCCTAATATCAAGAAGCTATACTATATACATATAACTTTTGATGCGTAGGGTAACTAAGATGAGCTCAATCCCAAATTTTCATGAAAATCTGTATTATCTGAAAAACTTGCCATGTAACCATTTTTTACAAAGACCATTTCATGAACAGACAGGAAGAGTTAATTTATCTCATATGACTGGTTGAAAATGAAAGTCAAATATTTGGTTTAAAATTAAATCCATCAAAGACAAAAATCATAACAACATAATCCGAGGCAGATAGTGATAAATCAAGTTTTATTTTATTACCACTTAGAAATTCTATTAATTGAAAAATGTTTACCAAAATTACACCTATGAAAGTTAACTGTAAAATTTTGAAATAACCTAGTAAATCTCAAAGGGCCATTAAAATCAATTAAAGACAACATATTGCAGATATTGAAGTAATTTGTACAGACATAATATCAGTTTGAGTTCACCTCAGAGCCAGTATAGCTATTTTGGAATATGCAAAAAACCAATGCATGCATTAATAGAAATAACCAGAGGCAGAGATCTTTGGTGATAGACCTACATGGCATCATGACAGCTACTACACTCCCTCTGGTCATCAGGACTGAAGAAATATTTTTAAGAAATGTATAGACTGTAATACTACAACTAATCCTTAGATACTAATATCAAATACAGAACAATTATTACATGTAGTTGTAGATCGAGAAGCCTTCACAATGGTTACTGCCAACATCAGATAATTCTGATATGGCAAGTTAACAAAAAGATACTATGTATTTTTAATATCAATTATTAATTATTTAATCTTTGTGTGCACACTGCTGGACATAGATCCCCTCATCATTTTCCATCTGTTCTGATCTTGTGCCTCTTGCATCCAATTTCTTTGGTAAAATCTTAGATTTTAAGTCCAATGTGTTGGTGGACAACATCTGCTTTGGTAGGCATCATCTCTTGGTCTTCATTCCAGTATCCGATTTGTCCATCTGTTATTTGTCATTCAAACCACATGACCTGCCCAGTTCCACATCAGTGTTGCTATTCTCTCTACAGCATTAGCCACTATTTCTTTGCATGGTTTTCGAAAATGCCACAATATACCATTTGATAGAGATTTGTTTTGTGACCAAGATATGGCAATCTATGACAAATTTTATAGTATTGAGAAACCAAAACAAATTATCCTGATCTTCGTTGTAGATGACAGTTTATTACGTAATAATGCATAGTTTTAAAGCTAGGAATATACAAACTCCTAAACAGATAGACCTACACCTATTTAGAAGACACAAAATCTAATAAGACAAAATGCTATAAAAAACTTATAAAATGTAAAACGCATTAATTTTAATGAATAAACACCTCAGGAATGCCTATCATGATACAAATTTTACGACTGTTTTATGACTTTGAGGCACATTTCGTGCTCTCAACAATTTGTGAACGGATTATAGATAAATTGTGTCTTTATAATAATCAAAATAGATAGAAGTTTATAATCAGATTTTTGTGATCTAATTGAAAGTATTTAATACACTTTATGCAATCCAATAATTGTCTAACAAAATGTCATGCACCTATTATATTGTAAGAAAGTACAGATAACATTTCTAGACAACTAGATATTGGTAAAAACAATCTCATATTTATCAAAACAATGATATCTTTACATCCTTGTTTTGATAGTTCATTCATCCTTTAACAAATAATGTCTCAAAAGTGTCCTTAATTTATCCAAACTAAATCAAATGATAATAACAATAACAACTGTATAAGCAATGTTTACTTACAAGGATTCTCTTACGTTGCATGTAATTTAAAAACTTAACATCTGGGTAAGTTTTAGGCACTCTTCCTTCTAAAGAAATAATTTTTTCTTCCAGAGCTTCAATTTTGCTACTGGCTTCATTGAGCAAATATGTAGCGCGTTTCACTTCATCAGGAATTTTCAGTGCGGCTTTTTGCTCGTCTACTTCTTCTGGATTTATTCCGTGAAGAAGCCTTATCAGAAATAATAATACTAAAAAAAAACAAATTATAAGAAGAGGAAAAACAGTCATATTTAAAGTATACCTGCTAAAGTTCCTAAAAGTATTACTATATGTTTGAATCGTGGAAGTATTAGACTCATTTTGCGGTCATCGTTGAAATGAGTAGCATCGTTTTTATTGATAATGATAACGTCTATTCTTATCTCTCATTACCTTAAATCCTAACCTTGTTTTTTAAACACAAATGACAATTAAGGACTTCTCCTTTGGATATGATCTTATTTACCTTTGATTGGTCACGGTTTCACTTTTGACAGAAAGAAACAGACGCAACTTTTTGATGTTAAAATGAGAAAACAAATTAAAAAAATTGACATTTAGTTCAGAGTTTTATTAATTAATAAAATCTGATCCTAAGATATTTTAAGTTATTTTAGAGAAAGATGCTACGAAAACTGATTAACATAATAATGATAGTAAGAAGGAACTATGCAACAAATGTTGACAATTTCTATATTTAAAACTTAGCTATTGGCCGAAAAATATTTTAAATTAGACATGTAGTTCACTGATCCCATATGATTTATGTCATATTTTAATTTGACATCGACGTCAATGTCAGTTGTTGTGTCAGTGAATTGCGATGAGATGTTTATAATTTTTATGGAATAAATAATCTTGATTTGTGTGTTTAAAGTTTTGATAGGCGCAGTTTTTTTTCAAATTTGAAAATCATCTGCATATATAGATGAAGTGTATGTAGTATTTGTATTATAAAACACTGTATTTTCGGGTTAATGAAGTATATTAATATCAAGGTTGTTTGCACTAATAAATCACATTACTGTTTTCCTAAAACTATCTTTAATTGAATGATAACATTTTTTTGTTTAAAAAAATGCTGATTGTCTTCAGTGTTTGTTTTTAATGCAATTTGTTTTTAGATCCGTACCAAATTAAGGGAACAAATTTGGATGCCATGTGACTAGTAATTTGTCCAATTAAATAGATTTCAGTATGATCTACAACTGCTTATTAGGATTGGTGTTCACTGCATTGTTCGACAAAGGCCTAGCTGAAATTTACGCTATTAAATATGTAAGTGGTTATTCTATTATTGTATTATAACAAGAGCTGAACAGCCATATTACTGAATCAAAGTGTTTGTTTATGAGTCATTAATTGTGGTGAGCTATGTTCATTTATGATATAATTGATATTTTTTGTTATATGCACTAAGGATCAAGGTGCGAATTTTATTAATATTTACAACTTTCAGCAATTTTATAGTTATTTGATATGTGTTTCGAATGTTTCACATTTTGTTGTATAACACTAAAATATGTGAAATAATCAGAATCAATGTAATAAAATACTCATAAATAATGCTTACATAAAAAATATCCCTATATACACAAGGTATATACATATTGTTCCACAATTTTAGTGGCTGACTCTGAATAATTAGTGATTACTGCTGAAGAAATTACCTTTAAGAAACATATCAAAATGCAACTGATACTTTTGTAGTTAAAATTGAACAGTATTGTACTTTTTTTATAGCAAAGTTGTTTTATGCGCTTCATTTGTTATCAGTGCAATATCAAATATGTACTATAAAAACTAGTTAACCAGGACAACGCCAACAATTTTGAAACATGATATCTACAAGATAACTGTTAATAATTATTGAGTATCAGATTTTCTGCACACTCTACATTCTTTAATATATAAAAAACATTTTCTTTCTTTTCTTGAAATCATAAAATAATAAAACACATCTGTGAATAGGTATTAAGATATAGACAGATTCTATTATTTTACAATCCAGTGGGTCAAAAAGGTCATAGATACCTTTATATTGATCAAAACTTTTATATAATGCCTTATGGATATCCAAAATGTCATTTAGCATAAGTAAAAAGAGGTCTAATATACCAATAAGAGGTCAATACATATAAATATAGTTGAATCCTTTATTGTTGAAAGGGGATAAGTGCCATTTTCTACTGTTTTGAGTTATAGTACAAATCATTCTCTCTTTGTATATATGCATCATTTGGTGTTGAAAGGAAACAAGCGCTATGCATTGCATGGATATAATTTATACTTCCAAACTGCATTTATTTTAGAAAGGAGGCAAGCAATGTCGCTAGCCCCCTTTCAACAATGTACAAAGTAAACATCACATGGTTTAACAGTTCTTGCTGTGCTCAGTAATCGAGGCCATCATTTGCATTGTGTATACTTTCTTTGTGTGTCCTGATAAGTTCTGTTGTTGTTTGCAAAACTGAATGGAAACATGTTAATAGTGAACAAACCAAAGTTAAACACAGGAAGAGAGGTGTGAGACATGACAATAAATATAAGAGAAATGTTATAAAGCAGAGCAGAATAAAAAGGCATTTCATATGTTAATTACAAAGCAGAATTAATTAAAGTTAATTATCTGCAGAATTTATATCTACAAGGACTTCTAGAAGAACATAGTGTTGGTAAAGGCCAGGAGTGTTCAGACAAAAGACCTTTGAAAATGAAATAATGAAAAAATCATGTACCTATTTCCATTTTGTTCTTGTTGATAACATGAGGGTATGTGTTAGTCAAAAAGCATTTCTTAGCTTAAATGGTGTTCCCAAAAAGAGAGTAGAAAAGAACTTGAGTGCACGAACATTTTTTATAATATACTATAACTAAAATTTGCAAAATATATTTCACCTTATGAACAACTTAAGTGTTAAAATTATTTCTTGGTTTGTACCTACCATAGAATTTTGTTATATACTGAACAGAATGGGCACATAGTGGATAAACAACCATTGTTATATCTGTTAACTGTTTTAACCAATCACTTCATCAGATACCACAATAACTATACATACTAAGGCCAAAACTTGATGTTTTTATTACAAATACTGTTTATTAAGATTAACTTATTAATGATTTATTGCAATTACCTGATGATTACTTATTGTAACAGATAATGGAAATATTTTTAAAGAGGTTATTATTATCTACTTCTTTGGTAGTAATTGATGGCTCATTTTGTATAAATTTTTCTAATGGTTATAAATAATTTGTTTTATGGTGGGCATTTTTAATAGTTACAGGTAAAATGAAATGTTTTATTTTCACTTTGTTGTTTTACCTAACTACTTAATGATGTAGATTTATTACTTAATTATAAAATGGGTAATTAAGTAAAGTAGTTAAGATGTTATTATTTCTTTTTTCATTATAGTAATGATTGCCCAATCTAATCATCAAAATCTACCCACATTAGTGAGATATAGGATGATTATTGAAAAGTGTTGAAAACAACATGGTTATACACTCTGGGCCAAAATTATCCAGCCACCTTAAAAATGGGTAATTTTTTATTTCTTATACCTCCTAAACCTGTTGTCCAATTTAAGTGATTTTTTTAATATGTTATAGCCTTATTCCTTGACAATATATAATGGTGCAATCAGTAATATTGACGGGACAAAACGTTTTCAAGTCATCATCCTGTGGAATATTCTAGCATTTGTAGAATACTGAAATTAAATCTTAACTGTAGCCTCATGCTTTCTCAACATTTTGTTTTTTTTATTGATTTGCTTATGTTGGATAATACAATAGTTAGGTGCTTTAACAACTAGACATGTTTTTTTATCAATTTTTATCTCTGTGGAAGAGAAAAAATAATCTTTTTTAAAAAAAGTCATTTGTTACAGTATAAATCCAATGAATAAAATCTTTGAAGAAAATTCAAATTAACAATATTTTGGAAATCAAAGTCTAATTGAAAAAAAAATGGGTATCAATAATGGCTGTTGCCGCCTCTAGCCCTTAGGACTTCTTGGAGTCGGTTTGGCAATCCATTCATGATATCCTGGATATCAGATTAGGAGATATTGTGCCACTCCTCTACCGCAGCTGTCTTCAGCTCTTCAAAGGATGCAGGGGCTGGTACTCTTGCTCTTACTTGTCTTTTGAGGTTTTCCCAGATATGCTCAATTGGGTTAAGATCTTGAATCCCGACCTCATTAAGGTACTCACAGGTAGATCTTGCTGTATGGCAACGTGCATAGTCATGCATTAGTCTGAAGTTATCACCATTGAATGGTGCAAATGGCATGACAGGGTCTTGAAGAACTTCTTGCATGTATACTTACGCATTCACACTGCCTCTACCGAACACAATAAGATCAGTATGCACTTTGTAAGAAATATCTCCCCAAATCATTATTGACCCTCCTCAGTAAGCCACTGTTTCGGTTATAGCGCATGCAGCAAACCTTTTATTTTGACGCCTATAGACACGTTGGCGTTGCATCTGGACCTTTTAGGGCTATTCTGCTATCATATGAGAACAGTATATTCTTCCATTTCGTCATAGACCAGTTAGCATATCTTTTGCAAAATGAAGTCTAGCCCTACGGTGTTGTGGGACCAGTTGTGGTGCGCCAGCTGGATGAAAAGCCCTCAAGTTTATTTCTGACAGTCTTCTTCTAATTGTTTGTCTACTAAACACTAATGTTTCTCACCTCAAGAAGATACCTACGAGCTTCAGCAGAGGTGCAAAAGCTATTTGTCAATACTTTAGTGACAATAAAGCAGTCGTCTCGAACTGAAGTGCATCGTTTTCTGTCTTGACCTGGCCTGCGGTTGAACAATTCTGTTTCTCGAAATCGTCTGATGGCATCTTGTACCGTAGTTCTGAATACATCGAGTATACTATCGATATGACATTGACTGTAACCAGCATCAACTAAAGCCACTGTCCTAGCAGCAATTTATTTCATGTAAATAAAATTTTATAACTTTGAATTAAAAATAGGTTTGTCCCAACACAACGAAAAACCACCACGTTACTTTTTATTATACTGTTTTCTTGCCCAAAAATCTATGAAACTTAAAAAAAAAATTCAAAATTTATTCAACCAAAAATTTTAATTTTCCCAAGACTTTTCATTAAACTTTTTAGACTATTTTCAAAATTAGTTCATTGAACAATTGTCCTGTTCAAAAAAGTATTCAATGAAACTTTTTACTAGTGTTTTTAATGTGATGTCAAATAACCATTTTATTTGAAAGTAGCTTCATCAACTGAAAATATATTGGTATTATATTTCCTTAGTGAGACCTCCTATAAAAATTAAACCCTTGAACCACTGAACCTTTCCATGACATATCTATCAAAAGTTCCAATAAAGTTTTTAAAAATTTTTCTTAATAAAGAAGATCTATAACCCTGCGTTTTCGACATTTTTCAATAATCGCCCTGTATCTCGCTAATGTTGGGAGCTATTGATGATTTGATTGGACAATCGTTACTTTAACGAAAAAATTAGTCTTATGAAATGAATCTTAACTACTTTTTTACCATCTCCTCTATAATAGTTTTCAATATACCCTGCAAAACATACCAATTTATCTATTATAACAGCATATTTTCATAATATGGGATGACAATGAACAAGATTTCGGCAGTTACAGATGTTAGTATTAAATTGCAATTGAACTGGGAGTTTGTGTGGATTGTCCTGAGAACTCGAATGCATTAGTAGCTACTGAATACTTTTCTTTTCATAATTTTTTTCAAAAAGTAATACATCCAAATGATAGGGGCAACTAGTTAAATTTAATGTTTACAAACATATCTAAAGTCAAAGTAGAACCAGCTGTAGACCTTCTAGTGCCTTCACATAATAATCATATAGCTTACACATTTGATCTTTTATATACTACTAAAATTAACCTAACATATGAAGAATACTATTTTGACTTCAGATATGGTAATTATACAGTGATAAATGATTATTTGGCAGGTAATAATTGGGACAACTTATTTTATGAATTCGATATTGAAATATTGAGTCTGCTATACAAAAGTTTTATGAAACTTTAGATGCTGTCTTTAATCAGTTTATTGTAAGTATGTATGTTTCCCCATATTTAAAAAATTTAATTATTGCACAGAAAACTAGTCATAAAAAATATTTACAAACAAATTACAAAACAAAAAAAGTCTGAAGCAGATTACTTGATATTTTCGAACTTAAGATCTAAATGTAAAATAGAAACTCAAAAATGTCACTCTAATTGTATAA